AGAATCCTAAATGTCATCCAGGAGTACAAAGTGATGACATAAACATTTTGTGCGGCCTGTATGTTTTGGACACCAGATGAAATGGAGGTGTCAGCGTGTAACCACGGCCACGGACTAAACATCGGAAATGGATAAAACACACGTACTAATCACGGACGCACAATGGACAGCCGCTGACAAAAAGTTCCTTATCACGAACGTCCGTGTTTACGAAATCATTGATGATAGCATTGCGTACGGGCCGAGCATGCGTGCGAAAATGTCCGGGTCACTATAAATCTGTATCACACCCTCTTCGCCGGTAGCGGTGTTTGAAACTGTAAACAACTGGGGCCCGTTGCCAGAAAAAAATTAGTCTTAACATTAACCTTAAACTTAAGTTTTTAGCTCATCTGACATAGTCAGATGCACTGGTAGAATCGCATGATGTCCGTGCGTCCGCGTCCGTCCGTCCGTCCGTAGTGGCCGTCCGTCGCCGTGCGTCAACAGTTGGGCACAAATCTTAACCGCTCGACGTACGGTCACGATATTCGGCACATCGGGGGGATCGTCAAAACGAGTTGGGATGTCTAAGCTGGGGGTCAAAGGTCAAAGGTCAAGAGGTGTAAAAGAAGGGGGAACATCACATCCTTAACTTAAAGGTATAGGGAGGAAATGCAGAATGTGCGCACAAATCTAAACGGCTCGACCATAGGCTCGTGATAGTCGGTGTATAGCATCATGGTAGAAAAAGCCATCACTGTGCCGAAATTGGAGGCACAGGTCAAAGGTCAGTGGGCACAGGCAGATTTTAGACATTTTCTGAGGACATCGTGGTCTGACGAGCGATTGAAAAACTTTTTTGTTTCAGCGGGTGACCTAGCATTTTTATGGCTTTATTGAAAGGACCATGAAATGTCCTTCTGCTGACATGCGAAGAGTAAGTGTCGGATTAACCTTTTGACCCTCAAGAGAGGGTTAAACATGGATTTGTTCACTTGCAACAAAGGACTGAACTGCTTTTGCTAGTAGAATCCCTCCCCCACCCTCCCCCTTCCCCCTCCCCACCCTCCCCCACCCTGCGCCCGCCACCCCCCACCCTCACCTACGCTCCGGATCTGCGATAGTGGGCGTGTCCTAACCATGATGTGAACGGCAACTGCATGGTGTGCATATCGTGCCCTAACAAATGTGTAGCGTACGCACGCGCACTGAAATTTTACGGTCCTTAACTGGAGAGTAGCAAGCACGACCTCAGATGAGGCGCCAGACGCTCTGCGGAGCACAGCCCTTGTTCTCAGTGAACAGGCGTTCGCCGACCCCGAAGACCTGGTTCGTAAAGTAAGAGAATTAAAAATTCTCCGTAACTTTTCTCTTAACTTAGAGATCCTAGACCCTCCTTTAAGTTTAATATTATTGAAAATAACACATTTACACACGAATTACAATTATATGTGATACTATATTTTATAATAATGAATAAAATGTGTGTTTTTCTTGAAAAAACACGTCAAAATCATTAATTATCTACCGCTAATAAACAAAACAATACATTATAAATGACGTATGGCATTTGTTCTCTTTGTTTCAAAGGTTTGCAACGGCTTGCCACGATTCTCGCAGTCTCGTGTTACAGTGTGAGAATTTGTCTTGTTGTGCAGAATTAATTCATGACCACGTAATATTCATCAAATATTATTTATATGTGTTTAGCCATCAAATATGCATAAATTACGTGTGACTGACAATAAATGTGTATGAATTTTGAATTTTGTGATCGATTCCCATCCAATCAGCAGCCTTGTGATGAAGTTCCTGTTATCGTAAGTTGTCACTTAAGTAAGTTTAGTTTAAGTGTTTCTGGCAACGCTATTAAAATTAACCTTAACATTAACATTAGACTTAAAATTAATCGTAACTTTACGAAGTTTCTGGCAACGGGCCCCTGATTTCTTGGACTGCGGATTTCAATTAGACATTTCTTAGTAACCAGCAGTGATATTGGACAAACTAATACGCATTTGGATGTAACTTGGTTATGTACTTATTAACTACACAAGGTGCCAGTTACCTAGGCATTCGTCACAATTGCATAAGCAATGGGCTTATTATGCATTTAATTTTGTTTATCGATTATTATTTCTAAACATTCCATAATGTTACTGAACTGACATTCCCTGGATACTGGGTGTATTACTTTGTGCTGTTTTACTTGTGCACCCATACTGATTACAAATGCCCCAGTAGCAGCTAGCTGCCATAAATTTGAGTAGCAGCTAGGTACTGATAAATTCAGTCGGTAGTATACCGTTAGATCACAGTGGTAGCTGAGAACAGACCACTATTAAATCCTCCATAGGATCCTATACTTAAGAATTGAATTTCACGAGCTGAAAAATAGTATTTCGACCGTTTTCTGCCGAGTGGCAATATTATAGCTAGGTAGCCATGTACTTCAGCTGTGCACCATTAGAGTTATGAAATATGTTGTTCAGCGTTTTAAAAAAATGTCGCGAATTTACTAACCGACACCACATTTGTGCCTGAAAAACAGTCGCGCAGTCGAATGGGGGCCATACATTGAAAGAATTCGTTTTAAATTACCAGTGACCATCCACCTATCTCCATGTGCATGTCATTGCCACACACGATAGCCAGCCTAAATAATGCAACCACAAAACATCGCGTCAGCTTTAGTGCACGAGCTGCGTGCCCTCCGATTGGTCGGCCGATGACGCGTCACATCCTCTAACCTAACAGGGTAATGAAGCGGTAGTGATTTAATAGTGGTCACGTGTCAGCTAAGGTTAGGTAACGACACCTAGGTAGGGTTACACGATATACTTTGTGGTACCAAGTCATAAAAGTTGTTTTGCTGTGAAATTCTGTGACCCCCCCTTCGCTCCTTTTCTCTCCCTTTCCTTCTCCATTGCCCTCTCCTTTTCCTCTGTCATTCCTTTCTCTCCCATTTTATCACTCTTACTCTCTCGCTCGCTCTCTCTCTCTCTCTCTCTCTCCTCTCCCTCTCCCTCCCTCCCCTCTCCTCTCCCTCTCCCTCTCCCTCTCCCTCTCCTCTCTCCTCTCTCTCTCTCTCTCTCCCTTCCCTCTATCTCTCCCTCTCTCTCTCTCTCTCTCTCTCTCTCTCTCTCTCTCTCTCTCTCTCTTCTGCTCTCTCTCCAGGGTTTCTTCTGCGAGAAAATTAGACAATGGCGGTAATGGCCAGTTTGGGGAAAAAACGCGCATGATGGATGCAAAGGCATGCAGTAGGCACGAATGTGGATTCTGCAGGCAGACGCAGGGGGAGAGAGGTAAAGGGGGGATCAGGGGGTCTCCCCCAGCAAAATTTTAAAAATTTGAATGTCTTGGACTGCATTTGAGGCACCCCGAAAATAAAATTTCACCTTTTAGTTTAGATCTTTCTCTGTTAGCAGACCTACCAAGTCTCACGCATTTCGTGAGAGACTCACGCATCTGGACCCATTCTTCTGCACTCCCGCATGCCCTACGCATTCTCACGCATTCACGCAAAAGAAAACCGAAAAAGCAGCCCGCGACACCCCTGTTACCCACGTCTGTGGCTGTGACATCGTGGCTCGTGCTTGCTGGCTGGGGCGGCATTGATTGAAGTACGGGGGGGGGGGGGGGCAATGCACTGATTGTTACAGTCGCGTGGGCATGCTTATTGCTGTATATGTAGGGGTGGGCACCGCTGGTATGAGGGAGCGACAAATCCGGAATCGAGGAAAAAGCTGCAATCGGGAAGAACAGAATCGGGAATGACACAGGAGTGTGCCGGCACGCAAAAAGAAACGTTGCTGTGAATTTCATTACGATTTTCCATGTATATAGTCAGAAGTACGTGGTGATCTATTTATTTTTAGATTGACACTATTTTGACAACGGCGGGCAAATACAGGAACATTTTCACAACAGCGTTGTTAAATTTGACAACGGCGGTGCGCCGCAGTGCCTCCTATGTAGAAGAAACCCTGCTCTCTCCCTCTCTCTCTCCCTTCCTCTCTTTCTCTCTCATTCCATATCTGCCCGTCTGCCTCATCATTATGGCTCTAGTTGTGACGCATTGGGTGTTTATAAATCTCATATAATTAAGTTATTGTTTTCTATGGTATTTTTTATTCCACTAGATAAAGTGGCATGTTCCATCCTTTGACACATGTTCCCATATATATTGCAGTTCTTGTCTACATCATATATGAATAATAACCATTAAGTAAAGTTGTTTTATCTTTGTTTCAGAATATGCTTTCAAGGCTATTAATCAAGGTGCACTTACATCAGTTGCATTGAGAGGCTCAAACACAGCGGTAGTTGTCACGCAGAAGAAAGTCCCTGTAAGTTGTTTTACGTATTACACTTTGTAAGATTACACATTAGTGGATTAACAAACCATGCCGTGGAAATTGGATCAGTTTAAAACCATGCACGTGGAAGATAAATTTTTATTGGTTTTAATTGGTTACAGCCTGTGAAACTACCTAGCATCACTTTTATGGTTTGTCAAGCCTTTAGCGCTATCTATTTATAATTTAATTGGGATTAGTATTCGGAATGTGTATCCAATTAGTGTGTGTGATTGTAATTGGTGCATTTAAATAATTGTTACAGGACAAGCTACATGATGCTAGCACCATTACACACATGTTCAAAATAACAGAACACATAGGTTGTGTCATGACTGGAATGATGGGTAAATATACATTTTACAACTTGGCAAGTAGTTTTTCTCTCATTTTAGCAAGATAAGTAATCGGGTACAAATAAGCCAAGTTGTGTGGTTTCAACTGTAAACAATTATAACCCTACTCGTAATTTTACTAGGATGTTGTGATCACAAATAATCCACAATAATCATGTCACCGCAAACAACTATCTATCGTGTCTGCTCGGAAACTTCACAATTACAATTTTAATAAGGACAGGATGTACTAAATGTACCTTTGCTTGTGCCAATTCCTCTTTGCATGTGACGTGTTTTTTGGGTGGTGTTCGGGTGGTGGTCATGTGACTTGTTTCACCTAGCCACCGTACCCACATGCTACCAAGACTGTTCCGTAGTTGATCAGTCTTATAGAGAGGGAAATGGTTTAAACACATGCTTAGCTTGACCTATTACACAGTAAGAACTTGTTTTTAATATTGAACTGGCATGTAATTTCAGCTGACAGCAAGTCTCAGGTGCAGAGGGCACGCTACGAGGCTGCAAACTGGAAGTACAAGTATGGTTATGAGATTCCGATGGATCAGCTCTGCAAGCGAATCGCCGACATATCACAGGTCTCCACACAGAATGCAGAGATGCGTCCACTCGGTTGCTGTAAGTGTCTCCGTATCTCTCTAAGTTTTATACTAGTGAAAATCAATTGTACGGATTGAGATAAATTTCTGTTTGTAGAAATGTAAAATATTGTTATTGGTGTTCAAACATTAGTATTACTGCGACAGTGTTCCTGTCGTGGTGCCAAAGAAGAAGTATAAAGTTCTGGGGCCCGTTGTCAGAAACAAAATTAGTCTTAACATTAGTCTTAACATTTTAACAATTTCTGCTAGACCGCCGACATCACTTTGTTTCGTATTGTTATGAGGAAATCTGCTATGATTTTTCATTCTCGTAACTTCGCAGCATTTCTGTCAACGGTCTACGAGAAAAAGTTAATGTTAAGACTAATGTTAAGATCAATTTTGTTTCTGACAACGGGCCCCTGAATCTTAGCATGGAACTTTGAGGCATGATATTATTTTGATTGCATTTAGAATTTGGGATGTATGTGTTAATCTAAGTGATGTAAATTATTCTAATCTAATTTAAGGTGACTAATCGATAAATATTGTGTATAGATCTATATTTCAATTGCATTTTTAGGTATGATCCTCATAGCAATTGATGAGGAACTTGGTCCTCAAGTGTTCAAGACTGACCCAGCAGGATACTATTGTGGATACAAAGCAACAGCAGCAGGAGTGAAACAGACAGAAGCCCACAGTTTTCTTGAGAAGAAGCTCAAGAAGAGACAAAACTTTGACTATAATGAGACCATTAGGGTATGTTCTCATGTGATAATATCTCTTGAGTCTTGATAATATAATTGTGTGGATGCATGTGATTGAAATAAGTGTAACGTGCAGTAATTTGCTTCCAAAATGTCAGGAAAACATTAATTAAGAATTTTGATGATTAAGAATAGTTCAATTCAATAAGTTTGCATTAACAGCTGTAATAAGTGTGCTGAGTATTGTAATGTCTGCGTGTGTAATACCGGTAATTTTCATGTGTTTAATCTTGTCTTGCAGACTGCAATCACTTGCTTGTCCACTATACTCTCAGCAGACTTCAAGGCTTCCGAGCTAGAGATTGGTATTGTAGATAAAGATCACCCAGAATTCAAGTAAGTGTATGAATGTTTGCTATGATAAATGTGATAGACGTTTAGCTGCAAAACATGGTGTGAAACTGCTTTAGAATGTTGATGCAGTTTGAATGCTGAGCAAAGTTGCATTTCAATTTTGTGATACGTTCATGCATCTTAGTAAGCTTTGCACATTTTAGTGCTTCTAAATTAATGCATCTAAACATTTAGTTAGTATTCAGAGACAAGGAGAGGATTAGAACATAATTCTGAACTACAACATGGTCAAAATAAATAATTTTTGGCCATTTTTTGCAGGATTCTTTCCAATGATGATATTGATGCACATTTATCAGCCATAGCAGAAAGAGACTAAAGAGACTAAGACTGACTTACTTTGGCTGGAACCTATGGTGTTCATTTCATTCTGCTTTTTTGTTCAGGTTAGTGAACAAGCAGTAAGACTATTCTGTGTTCATGTTTCTCACTAATCAGCTGAAGTTGTTGTAAAATGGGAAAATCGGTACAAAGCCATGTCATTACAATCGAATATTGGTTTTGGGCTATTTAAATTTTTCCAATATTATTGAGCGATTATAGTTATTCATCTGACGAAGCCCGTGAAATGTAAAGCTTATGTATGTTCAACTGCTAAACAGTTTTATGTATGAGACAACAGCTGGATCAGAATAATCGCATATACTGTTGAAGCAGAGCCAGTATATTTAAGGAATCAACTTCACTTGATCATTCATTTGAATTTGTCATCGATACTGCATTTAACACAGACTCTAATATTTATTTGACATGAATTCTTAAAGTAACTAGTTCAGGACAGACAGTTCCCCACTTGTCAGTCGATACATAATTTTGCCTCATTTCTGTGTTATTTGATTGTAAAGCTCATTACTATAATAGTGTTGCGTGCGACAAGATCTCCAATATTTTGTGGTAACTCGGATGCCTCAAAATTGTAAACTGTGCATTGCACGTATTTCAAAACATGATAATAAACTCAAAGATTAAACAGTCTTTGTATAGAAACTTATTTCATTGTCTCATTGAAACCGGAACAATGTTGATGTCAATTTAAAGATTTCACTTAAAGTGGAACCTGTGAGGAAAGTTATGGATAGCTTTAAATATATCATTACAATCCAAAAATGTGAAAAATACTACTGTGCTTGTTTAGTAGTTGGTAGGATAATGTTGCTAGAGCAATGTCCCCCATCACCTACTTATTGCTAATATTCTGATATTCCATGTCCTTTTTATATTTCTGAGTACGTGTAGTGTAAGTTTTATTGGTATATTGGGGACTGCCTTATTAAAAATCCATTCCCATTAATTGATTATAGTTATTACTTCAGTTATTTTCCCTATTTTCAGTGTTTTCCTTCTACATGTTGAAAACTTTCACACTTAGTCAACTGATCTGCTATGTCTTTAAATTTTTTACCATTGCCCTCATTTGCAGAATAATTATAAGGTATATTTCTATTAACGAGTCTGTGCCAAAAGTCAGTCACTGTTAGTGAATCTGTTGTGTGTATGTGATGTGTTGGCCATGTTATATTATATACGACAAACTACTATATTTGATGGGATAAATTACGAATGGTCAAGGACAAACAGTTCTAAAGAACAATCTTGACTAGAAGTCTGCTTTAATAGTACAAGCACTGTCAAATTAACTTACTGCATGCTAAAACTTCAGTAAGTGTTCTTATCCAGTGCAATTTACCTGATGGGGTTTACACACATTCGATTTTCATTTGTCACTTATAACAAGCTAAAAGCATCCATAATATTTCTTAAATGGACCTCATAAAACTCATTTGAGAAACGTGTTGTAAATTAATAAAGCTGCATAACACCATATTGCAATTAGGTTGATAAAATTAACAAGATACTATACACATTATAAGGTACAGCAAAATTAATTTCACAAGTTCAATCAACTGATTTTCAAGATAAAAGGGGATAGGGTACCTTACTGGTTGGCAGATGTCAAGCATCAGCCTATTCTTTAAAGGTGAATCTGCCTACAAATACATGTACATGTTTATATACCATTTCCGTACAGAAAAGCATGAAATATCAATATAAATAAGATATAATTATTCAAACACTAACTAAACACAATACAAAAATGCAGGACTTCATATTTTCAGAACTTCACAAAGACGAAACAATCCCAATGTGGCATCAACAAACTAAATAGGTTTTGTTTATATTACATTTGCCACCTACTTATTTCTGTCCCGTTTAATTTTTGCTAATCTTCTATCACTGTTGGTAACTAATTGTATCGTTTCTGTGTGTTGACAAAAGACACGCATTTGTGCAGGAAGCGAGTAAACGTGAGATAATCGTGTGCAAGTTTACTTTCACAGCTAAAAACCAAGTACTTGCCAAATGCCCCAATAAATATTCAGAAATTGGTAATGATGTTCAAGATGATGTTACACAAGAGGTATATGATACTGCCCTGTTTTGAGTGTACCCAGAAAGCTGCATGAAAGACCCTAACCCTAACAAATTATGATTTCATTATCAACAAGTTAGACAATTTGCTGTTGGGTTGTTCTCACCTGAAAAGATATTTAGTGATGTCATGGGGCATTACACCTGCTACATTTATATACTGATATGTCTAATGCAACTACACGTACGTATAAATGGTTCCACTAAACGATGCAAGTTAATGTGTGCTACATATACACTCATGCTTATTATCTCTCTATAATATGCAAGTAGTGTGCATGTTCATGTACAAAGGCCAAAATATTAATTGCTTATGACGCAGACCCAGCATAAGCTTGGACTGCTCTAGCACATATGATAGAACTTGGATAGATAGAATTTTTGGATAACCATTAGGTACTCAAATAAAAACACATGAAGTTATTTGCTCATTTACCTTGTCAAATCGTAGACAAGAAACCTCGAGTTGTTGCATCAAAACCATTTATATTGTTACCTTTGATATGCGCTTTGCAACACTTAGTATTGGCGAAATTAAAAGTCAACGGAAATAACATCCTGAACACTTATATCTCACTTATACACAATTCGGTAGCAGGTGCTCCTGATTACAGAAGTCTGGACACGACAGATAATCTAGCACAGCTGGCTTTGTTTCCGTTGTACACCGCCCATATAAGTATTAAGTTTTCAATCAAATTGACCGGTTTCCTGCTATATATGGGCATAACTAAGTACAAAAGTGATCGAGCGCACTTATGTCTTGCCCGTCGCCGCCAGAGGGTTGCGAGCTGTGATAGGGGGTCGTCCAGAATTCAGCCCAGCATATTGGTACTTGGCTTTCTTCTCAGATGGCTTCAGAATCTGGAATAGCATTTAAGCTAGCGATTAACCGCTACTCAATCATCGTGAATGCCTTCTTAACATAAAATGAGGATTTATGACATGACATTGAATCACCCATGCTTGCACCACGTTGAAAATTTCTAGGCAAATGTTTCGCGTGAAATTATCCATCTACGTAACGTTGAATGGATCGGTTTACAGGCGTCGGATTTGTGGGCATACCTGAAACGAGCACATCAGTGAATCGTCCACTGACATCATGCCACCAGCATTGTCAAACTCCCCGCAGTAGTTTGGTGCGGAGAAGAGCGTTACTAGCTGACGTTTCGCAAAGAACTCGTATCCATCTTCGACCACCTGCCAACACACAAGCAGCGTGCCACCGACACATCGCCAAGAACTGAAACTGCACTAAATCTTTCTTTCACGCTCCCTCTGTCTCGCTCTCTCTCTCTCTCATTCACTCTCCCTCTCTCGCTCTCTTCCTCTCGCTCTCTCTCGTTTCCTCTCTCTTTGATATCGTTTGCATTGCAAATTAACTACATTCATTCGTACAGCTGTGGTCAGGCAGCTAAGAATAGACCATGAGATTACCACCAGAGTGGTCGTTACCAGCAGCTAGACCAAATATAACTTCATAAAGATGAAAAGCGCAGATGAGACGGATTCGCTGACCTGATGCGCGCGACAGATCAGGTCCAAGTCGTGTCGGTTGAGAAACTTGCTAACGACGTCTGCGCCGAACGTGAAAGAAACTCCTCGGTCGTTCTCCCCCCAGCCCTGCACATCCTTATCTGGATCCGACCACAGCAGGTCACACAGTAACCCTGCACACAACACAATTCATTACAGTACACAATCTATTATCCGAAACCATTGGGACCAGACACGTTTCAGAATTCAGAATTTTCCATATTTCGGAATGGTAGTACAGTACAGATATACATACCGTATATCCTGCAACTAGCCAGTACTAAAACACAAGTTTTCAAGAGGCCAAGTGCTGTACCAGTACAGTACAATATATATGAGTATTGCCAAACACATTAATATTTCTGCAGTGAACCTTTGGTGCCAAAACGCGAGTGTGCAGACGACATCCACGAAAAAACCTTGTATACCGTACTAACACATACGTAAGTACTGTTCTTTAACATTCATTAACGTCATAGCGCATGACTGGGACAGGAAAATAACCAATCGCATAGATCCTGCATTCTAAATGCACCATTTCATCTTCAGCTACTTTCGTGGATCACACATGGTTTTAGGTTTTATTTATATATATATATAGACTGGGCACATAATTTATAAATGATACATGCACCTGTCGATGGCACGATGGTCAAAACTTTGACAGTCTTAATTGCTGACAGGCAGTTGAAAAGACAGCCAGATTACCCTCTGGCAAAGTCACTGGTTGGGACTTACCTGTGTCTGGGACATCTGTGGGCCTCATAATGCGTCTAATTTGCTCCATCGACTGCAAATCTGGTGACAACCCTAAATAAAACAAAACGTAGACAGTTTCAATGTGCATACTGCAAACCTGACCCAGTCTATGATAACCACCCATTAGAGAACAAGTGCCGCGGAGCGACAGCGCTCATCTAACGTCTACTGCGGTGACTCTGTGGTGGAGTGGTGGGATTCTAGTAAACCCTGTTAGTCCCAAATGTGTTCACATACATGCCGAAACAGTGGAATGCACAGGGACGGTATCAGGAACCTTCTCAAAGGAATGTTCGTTGGGATCGTTATGAAAGTTGCTACGAGATGGCGCGTACGTTTAAGTGTCTTCAGATTAAAGATGGAAGCTCCCATCGTAGTAGCAACAACTATTTGCAAGACAGAATAGGTATTATTTCATTTGCTCCGTCAGACCTTGTCCTCAGAAAATGTCTAAAATCTGCCCTGTGTCCATTGACCTTTGACCTGTGACCTCCAATTTCGGCACAGTGATGGCTTTTCCTACCATGATG